TCGTCTGCTCTATTGATTTCACTTATTTATTGGGAGGTTGTCTGAAAAAGGTTCCTACGGTATGGCTGACTATAATTTGGATTTCCCCCCGTTGATATTAACACATCCCAATGCCGCTGGGTGCCTAGTTTTTCTTGTCTTTGAGCTCCTTCTTGACACCCTCCAGTTCTTGTTTTACATTGTTCTTGAACATACTGATGAAGGATCTGTAATGGACCACGAATTATCATATTATTGGGTACTCTGTCCTGCTGCTGTACTCACTTGAAGCGCTCCGGCGTCATCTCGTGCAGCCCCTGCTCCCTGGCCAGGCTCTTGGTGCGGTACATCAGGGAGACGACCAGCTGAGCAGCCCGTCGCATGGGATAGCTGTCTGCCATGCGCTGGATAAGCTGCTCATTGTTGGCCAGATACCGCATCAGCAGTCGCAGTACCATCTCGAGGGCTCCTAGAATTCCGTGTCCTTGTACTTGCGTATGAGCTGCTGCTTCAGCTTCAGTTGATTCCGCAGCAGTTCGAGGCGTTGCAGCTGCTCGTCCTTGTTGAAGTCGATGCCGGGCAGCTGTCTGATTTGCTCGCGCGCTGACTCGAAGCGCTTCTGCAGCTCGAAGATCTGCAGGGGTATCAAGAATTGGGTTAATTTACACATCATCTATGGGATATTCTCACCTTGTGGTTGCAGTCCTGGGACTCGCGCAGCTTCACGGCGTTCTCAAGCGGATCCTTTTCCACACTAAAAGAGACAACAGATTATATAAGAGCTTCAACTAAATTGTGCCTTTTGTTAATTTCTTAAATACATGTACTTGTGTGCATATGTGTCCAAGTGATTGACATTTCGGCCATTGGCACCGCACACTTGTGGCACCGCATAGCCTGAACCTACCAGCGCACCACGTCGTATATGATCGGCAGAATCTCTATGTCCAATTGGTCGACCGTCAGCTGGCACTGGGTGCCGATGCCGTTGGAGGTCTGCGTCTCCTGCGAAATAGTCGACTCGAAGGGCGAGTTGGAGGTTTGCACGAGGCCGTCGGCTGTTAGGATGGGTTTTCTGTCCTCGTTTTGATTGTTTGGCGATAATTCCATTATAAAAAGAAGAAAAAGAAAAATTTCGATGCCAGCGCCAGAATTAGGGACAGTGTGACCGCGCACTTACAAAAATATACCGAAATACATCTTCTCATATTTAAAATACCGTAAATATAACGTAGTCCGAAATCATATTCCTCGATTTTGATGTTCTATTTGATATTACTAGCTTACAAAGACTTTAAACACTGAAAAAATATTTAAAGCTGATTGAAGATTCAATTCTGCATAGGATTGGCTAGTTTTAACAAACTAAAAAGGTCTAAAAAGACATAACTTATTGGAAAGATTTGCATTTCATATCAATACTGGAAAGCGTATCTTGGTTCCATATTCCAAGTATGGCCGTATCAAGAACAGTGCTGCAAAGGATAGAGGACTGGGCGCCAGATTTCAAATTAGTTAACATCGCAAAGATGTTAATTTGTTCATTGCCTGGAATTAGACCGCTCTTTGTATCAACTCTGTCTAATTTCCGTGCTAATTTTCAGTCTCGTAGCTCCATTAATTTCATATTACGCCTTATAAACCTTTTACTACCGCAGGGAATTGATCAATGGTCATAAAAAGTATTTTTGTGTCAAATGCTGCTAACTTTTATAACTTAAGAGCTGCGAGTTCGGCAACGCTAATTGAGGCTCGAAAGCCCAAGAAGACAATAGGCTTCCTAAGCTGTTCTTTTCCCCAAATGAATGCTGAAAACGTGCAACAAAGTCTCCGGGATCGATTGGATCTGTTTCCATTGGGATATTGGCGTGTCATTCCATTGAAGCGAATTGCGTCTTTGACATTTGATGTGCGAAATACATTCATTTTACTTGAACCTTGTTATTGATGGCAATTACAAATCAATTGAGAAATATTTAATTCGCCTTCCCGAAGCCACAATTGAAGAGAACTAACTGTACAGCTGAAAAAAACGAAAGACTGATGATGATACACTTAATATTTCGAGGTTCGGCTATTAGCGTTTCCTTTGATTCATTAACGCTTTAACTATATGCATTAGTACATCTGGATATGGATATAATGGATTAAATTATCATGAATGATAAACTGGAAAAGAACTGTCATTTACCGTTGGTGATCGCATGTTATGGTTCACCCTGAGAATCGTGATTAACCCACTCTAAAGAGAGACAAGCAGGTGCACTCGTTCGCTCTCTCTCCCTATCTCTCTCTTGCTCTCTTTCTCTTAGGACTGCGACTAAAACCAACAGCTGTTCTTGTTGATAATCAAAGTTCTTTGTTGTTATCGGCCCCAGATAACAAATCCCATTCTTGGAAGTAACTGTTAAACGATGGCAGCAACGGAAAAAGTAGTGGAAAAAGTGCGTGTTTTTGTTGCATTCCACATTGTCTGTATCACGCACACAGCCACACATATACACTCACGTACAGATAGTGGGCTTCAGGCACACATAAAGAGCGCGCCGCTGACCGTGCTTTGGAATAAAATGAGTGGAGCCCGAGAGAGCGGAAGAGAGCCGGAGAGGGCAGCGGCGGCTAGTGTTAATATTAGCTTTTGAGTACAATTTTAGCTTCCATCGGCGACACACGTTTTTCCGTTTTGTGCGGAGTGTAATAACCAATCTTGGACAGAGTCAAACCATCCAACCAGTCAAACCAAAATATTATAACGGAAAAGCTCAATAAGCGGTCAGCGCCACCCACATCACACCTACCTACGGGACAATTTAGCGACGTTCAGTTCAAGTTTTCACAGCTTGTGCGTGCGTGTTCGTATTCGCGAAATACGTCATCGACGCGCGCAGCGGAAAAGCAGCCAGCCGAAAATTAAATCGAAAGTCCCAGCCAGCGTAGCGCACACATTTGCAGAAACGAGCCTGAATTGAGTCCAATTGCAGATACAACAACGCCCGCCCAATCAACATAAATCGAGGAAAATTGCCATATACTGTTGTCCGCTCGCATTAATTGACCTGTTATTGTATCGCCATCGTCGTCGTTGTCGTTGGCATTCACAGGGAGACGCAGCAGCAGCAAGCGGCTGCGATACAAAACGTGCAAAACAGCTGAAGAGAATCAGAAAAAAGAAAGAAGCAGCAGCAGCAGCAGCAACAGCAACAAGTGCATCTCTCCCTCCCACACACACAAAGCAGAGCTGAGAACAGCAGCCCTTTCAATTGATCGAGTTCGTGTACGCGTACGTGTGTGCGTGTGTAAAACGTTGTTGTTGCCACAATCAATTAGAGTGATAGCAGCATCCACATACATCAATTTGCTGGGATCTCTGGAGAACGCTGGTCGCTGGATGATTCCGAAAGTGCGTCTGTGTCTGTAGTTGTTCCCGTTCCGCCTCCGTAATCGCAAGTCGCACTCGCACTCACATCCATTGTCGTTGTCGCTGCCGTTGCCGTTGCCGTTGCCGTTGCCGTCGCCGCTGTCTCCGTCTCCGCTGGTCGCGAGCATCAGCTCTGCTCTCGGGGGTCCAAAAGTGTATTTGTATCTGTGCCGTCGGGCCACTCGGCTTGATTGGGGCTTTGCTGATTCCGAAACTGTGTCTGTAGTTTCCCGCTAACGGCAGAAATTCTCACAACTCATTGATATTTTAACCTCGTGTCCGTGTTGGCTGCCGCTCGACCAAGGTTCTCCGCACAAAATGCCCGTCTCTTTGGGCTTTTCGAAGCCTCGCTTCGTCGGACTAAAAGTGCTCCTCTAGCGAACGCCCAGGGTCCAGACTCCTAAAGAACCTAAAGAACGTCCACAAAAAAAGTGACGGGTCCCGCGAACTATCGAATTGGCAAACAAATTATCATTGAACTCGCAGTAGCAATCGCAATCGCAATCGCCCACGCCTTATCTCAGTAGCGTAGCCACCGAAAAAAAGCCACCATCGAAATATAGAAAATCTAACCGTCATAAATAGTGCAAATCAAGAGACGAGAGACACCGAATCGAACGAAAAGCCCGGCGCCGAACAAACAAACTCTTTTTCGCGCTGTTAATTCGCCTAATGAAATCTGAACATTTGTGAATAATTAACGTTTCGATCGCATCGAAAACCTGTTCGCCACCAGCCACCAGACTTCGCAAAAAGCCACAGAAATTAGCCTCCAATAAAATACGACTAAGAGCTAATATATAACACCCCTCGACGCACCAACACACGCGCAGTGATAACAGCCATAGCCACAGCACAGCCATCGCCATCGCCAAAGCACACCATACGCCGGACCATACCCCGCCCGTACCGTGCCTGAGCCCGGAGCCCGGACCACGAAGCCCCCGAGCGGCTAAGCTCGCAGCAGAAATCCACTCGACTCGAGTCACTTCACTTTGCAGCCCCGTCGCACGGCCAGCGCTGAACAGAATACGTTCGAAACGCGCCCGGAATAGTTGTGTTCAACATTTTAGCTCCGCAGCCAACCCCCAAACGATCCAAGTTATCAAGTCATCATCATCGAAAGCTCAGCCAAAAGTTCACTCTGCCATCGATTCGAGTTTGAATTTGAGAAGACACCATAACTGCTGAAGAATGTCTGCCATCTGACAGTGTCCAAGTGTAGAGAAGCAAATTGCCATTTTTTTCGGGGAAGAGGCCATACTCCAAAGTCAGCGTTAATTAGAATGTCGCATATCTGACGGTGACAAAAGTACAGACAGATCTCGTCACACAAACACTCTGAAAGATATACTGAAACCGAGTCTCTCGAGTGTAAAGCGCTAGGAAAAACGAACAAAGGCTGTTCGTAGTATCTGCCACAGGGAGTGCACTCTGCTATCAGTGAGGAAACGGCAATTCGCGAGTAAACAACTGCTATATAATGTCAGCCATCTGACAGTGAGCGAAACGATCCAGCAGCAAGTGCAAGACAAGCCCCAGTGATCCCACGTCCACGAGTGCCAGTGAGACCTGTAAAGAAATCAAATCAACTGCACCAACGCCTTCCGCAGATTTAGCAGCAATAAATGGAGAAATCTGAAATACGACTGCAGCGCATGTCAAATGTATATCAATCGCAATCGAGCTATATGTATCTGAGGAACAAGATGCTGTTAAAAATCGAAAATACCCTACTCCGAAGCCATCGTCAGCGCGAGACCACCGGAATTAAGAAACTGTACAATTCGTTTTTCGTATTGTTTTAACTTGGCTCGGTCCCCCACCCCTTCCAAGGCCCCAAGAACACACGCACAACGCAACTATTCCAATTCCACATAATTGTGAACAAAAAAAACCATAGAAAAAGTTACAAAAAACCCAAAAAAACAAACAAACAAAAAAAAAGAAGGAGTATAGACATAAATAGTGAATAATAAATAATTAACTATAACGATATTATTTGGTTGTTAGTCGAACTCACGCGGAGTGCAACAAATCCACAATCCAAATCTGAAATCCTGAGTGCTGTGCGCATAACGGTGTTAGTGTCATAACGAACATTTTGAACAAAGATGCAAAATGTTAACCTAAGCAAATCCAAACCTAATTAAGGCATCTCAATATAACAAGACCCTACCCACGCACACAAATATTATTTCTACTTCGAATATTACTATTGTTACTATTACTTTTTGTTGCTTGAGCAAAATTGCTGACGCCGCCCAAGGATACCACCGCTAGCGATATCGGTGGATCGATCGACGCGTTAACCAGAAACCAGTAATCAGTGTATCTACCGCTCCCCCTCGGTTATTCACTTTTGAGTGCGTGTGTGACATCAACAAAAATCAACAACAACAAAAAGGAACAAGAAAATAACAAAGATCCAACGCCCATCTACCGAATGGCGCTTTCGTTTCTATCGCAAAACTCCGGTCTCTTGGATTTACAAAGCATATTCGATCCACAATATTCAGAACTGCAACAAGAACATTCGAACCACCATCAACACAACAACAACAACAACAACAACAACAACCCTCACCATCAGCCACACGAGGAGCTACAACTTCAGCTACCACAGCGCATTGCGACCACCACCAACACCAAATTCGATTTGAACATCTTCAGCGAATTCGATCAAATGGAATTCAACAACAACAACAACAACAACAACAACTTGAATCGCAGTCAATATCAGAATAACAACAACAACAGCAATATTAATAGCAACAGCAGTGCCAGCGAGAATATAAATCAGGTAAGTTTTCCATCCATCCTAAGGGAGAAACTTATGAGATGCAAATATACATATAATCAGAAATCCATGGAACATTCGCTTGGAATCAAATAGAACCATAATTAAAATGGCTTTGCAGGGAATAAGTGCCTTGAATATAACAAAATATATGCATAGTACATATGTACTTATGTGGTTCAATTGCTAATGATGCTATAAAGCAGAGACAATGTATCATAAAACAAAATTGTGGTAGACTGAGGTAGACAGCATTCAGAGCTTACTATTATTGTTTTCTTCTTTCGTATCACACCTTTTGTGGGCGTATCTTGAGATCTTTGTTCGGGAATTGTTTACTCACATGTCGGGCATGTCGATCTTATCTTTGTGGAGCATAATTAAATGTGTGTTTTCCCCTACTCTCACTTGAGAGAGAGAGAGAGAGCAAAGAGGAGAGAGATTATACGCGAACTTATCAGCAAGGTTTCGGACCTAAATACATGCTTATACATATGTATTACATATACAAGTACATTTATAGTACTTGAGCTGGACTCTAGAGATAATGCTGTGAGGGCATAGCCTCGCTGGCGGCTAGACGGGCTTTGTTTCTGTTCGTGATTGTAATTCGGAATCTGTTTCTACATTTTCGAGCTACAAGTTGGAGCAGGCTTAGATCACTGAAATTGAATGTTTCTGCTTCTGCTTCTGCTTGGTTTTCCAGATCGAGAACCGCCACTTTATTAGCGGCTACCATCATCAGCATATTGGAACGGATTATGAGCAAGTGATCAACTTTGTTGACTCGCCGCCAAACTCTGAGGAATCGTGGACAGGTAAGGTTACAGCTCGCTCACCATTAAGTCAGTCCATCAATCAGTCAGCTAGCTCTAATCAACTCCATCATCATCGTCGCATCAACTCTGTGGCATCTAGAGATATCGCTAATCGAAGAACTTACGGTTATCGTAGACGGGCAGTCGAAGGATTCGCCGGGACCGCAGATAATCGACGTTCAGACCATCTATCTAAACAGCGGCACCCGCAAAAGACGAATGGATTGGGACTCACTGGACATTGGCCAGACCGAGAACTCCCCCACAGCATCCCAGAGCGGCGAGCTGCCCACCAAAGTGGCACCCCAGGAAAAGGATAAGCACAAGCGCGAGAAGCACTCTGGTAAGGCCAAAACCCAATGTCCCCCTGCATTGGCCAGACCCAAACTCATTTGCATAAGTAAATAAGTTTACTGACTGACCCACAATCAATGAAAGCGAGAAAGACTGAAAGAAATTTCGATATAGAGACCTGTTCGAGACACTCTTCCTGGCCAAAAACTCGTTCTTCACTCCACTCCCATCCACGTTCCCCCTGATGTAAGCTCGTGTATTGTAGTGAATTGGGAATAATTAAGAAACCTGTTTGTGCCCCCTTTGACGAGACATATGGAGGGATAGATAAGTCATAGATAGATAGACAATTAAGTTGATCATTCCGAAAGACAAGCGTGAGTGCATGTGTTAAGTGCTGTACAAGCAGAGAAATATCACTGCTAATTAGTCTGTATCTATCTACCTAGCTAACAGTTGTGCATGTGCGAGTGTAGCTATGAGATGGCTTCGTGACTTGGCAATTAATCCAAACTCTATCATAGGGTTAGGGCTGAAGTGTTTGAAATGGTTAAGTTTACGACAAATGGAGTTGCACCCTCAAAGTCTGGCTTTAAATAGTTCCATAAACTGATTAGCATCGCTGCTGTATGGGCAGCTGGATATCCACTAATGAAATTAACAGAGCAGCGACTGTGATTAACTTAGCACCTGCCCTAACATCACGGTCTCCAACTGACGTTCATCAATAGCTCACTTTAATAATAGAATGCCACAGAGTTTTGGGTACTTTTCCGAAGAGTAAACCGGGCCCCCCACTCATAGCCAGAAAGAGTGAGGGAAAGAGCGAGTGGCTGAGCATCTTTAAAGATGTGCCAGAGAGATTGTTTCAAAAACAAAGTCACGCAAGGTCCCAACTACTAGCCGCTGAACTAATTATTCCACAGCGGGTGTCTGAGGCATGACACTGGCACACTGATATACTTCCACATGGACATATTTATGTACTTGTGTGTGTGTGTGTGTGTGTGTGTGTCACCATATAATTTTGACTCAAATCTAAAGCTCTGCCACGTTTCCCCCCTTTGATGGCTTATCAAGCGACACTTGCCGCAGATAAGACCTAAATGTGTGTTCGCCTTTTCGTTTTGTATAAACCAAACACACAACTTGGTGGATTGTCAGAATTTATGTTTGAGTTTTAAAACTCTACACCATAAAGTACTGTTCTGCATACTGAATCAGAGACGAACCCTGCCGCAGACTTTGTTCATATAATTTCAATACATTTCTCAGCAGCAATCAAAACTATAGTCGATGGTGTAGCAATGCTATCTTTTTGTCTTGCCGGATACTTTTCATACGCTTAATCAAACAATTAGCTGTGACACTATCTAGACAGAAACAACTCATATTTGTGTGTGCGTCAGTCGATGGCTGGCTCTTTGAATTAAATCAATTCGATTGGAGCCCCCGACTAGAGGGTTTCGCTTTGGATCGGTATCTGCAGATAGATTAAATCAATCAGCGAAGCATTTTATTTATTGTGTGACCACTAAGGGGATATTGTCTGATGTCTGATGCATGTTTTAGGAGCGATAAATCCCACTGCTCGAATCTATAGAGATACGGAAGGAACCAGCTAAAAAAGCACTCAAATATCTGCACTAAATTAAGCAAAAAGTTTGTCAGTCTAGCCTCGATAAGAGCGTGAGATTGGGATTGAATCGCCAACGTGGTTTTGGATGTATTTAACTTTAATTTACTCTTCGATTTTGACAGGCCGCAGCAGCTGGAGCGATGAGATTGGCTTCGATTTGAATGCCGAGTTCAACAGCAGCTCGTATCTGAACAAGTAAGATATTCCCGTTTGACCGCGTGGCCGTGTGAGATTGGAGCTAATTATTTCCTCTACAAGCAGTGAAAACTTTCTGTCGTTCTCCCCCACGCTGACCGCCCTGAAGCAGGAGCCCCAGACGGAGCAGATAAAGCCGAATCCAAAGCTCTCGCTGGACAGCAGCGGCAACAGCAATGCCGCAGGCAATGTCTCTGCCAGCGTGGCGATTGCCAAGGTGGATGAGGCACAGAACTCACCGCAGCTGGGCCAGGAGACAGCCGCTGCCAATGGCAAACACGACCTGAGCGCCGGACTACTCTGTGGCTGTGGCTCTCCCCAGGGCTCGCCAGTGGCTGCCAGCGACTACGAGCTGGGCGGACAGCCAGACAAGGGCAAGAGCAATCCTCAGCAGCAGCAGCAGCAGCAGCAGCAGCAGCAACTGAGCGTGCTTGATCCATCCAAGATAGAGCTTGGATCCGCCAACGGAGCGACACACGCCGAGGATCACAAGTGAGTCTCCATCGAGTGTGTCTCTGGTTACGCTGAGCTTTGATGATCCTCCTCCATGTAGGTTTCAATACATTTTGGCTGCTGCCACATCGATTGCCACCAAGAACAATGAGGAGACCCTCACGTATCTGAACCAGGGCCAGAGCTACGAGATCAAGCTGAAGAAGATCGGGGACCTGTCCCTCTACAGGGATAAGATTTTGAAGGTGAGTTCAAGGCTGTGCCACAGGCCCAGCTGGTGCATAACCATGCCCCAAGCCGCCGCCAAATGGCATGTGATTCAGTGAACGATTTGACTTGAGGCTGTATGGCGTCAATTGGTTTTAATAAACCCCAATTAAGATGACGAAGAACTTGAGAGAGAGAGAGAGAGAGATAGACCCACGAGGACTGTGCATGCGTATGAGCAGCGTTTGGCCAAACTACATTTTACATACATTTTACATACTACAGCCCTATGTATATCTAATGTAGAGTGACTTCATCTGTTGCAAATTCACTTGCAGAGCGTGATCAAGATATGCTTCCATGAGCGGCGCCTCCAGTTCATGGAGCGCGAGCAGATGCAACAATGGCAGCAATCCCGACCCGGCGAGCGCATCATTGAGGTGGATGTACCGCTCTCGTATGGCCTGTGCCACGTCTCGCAGCCCCTGAGCTCCAACTCGCTCAACACTGTCGAGATATTCTGGGATCCACTCAAGGAGGTCGGCGTCTACATCAAGGTCAATTGCATTTCAACCGAATTTACACCAAAGAAGCACGGCGGTGAGAAAGGTGTACCATTTCGACTCCAGATCGAGACCTACATAGAAAGCAACAACAGCAACACGAACGGAACAAGCAACAACAATATCAGTGGCAACAGTAACGGAAACGGAATCGGAAACGGTAACAGCGGTTCAACTGCCCCAGGCTCACCGGAGCGTACACCCAATGGGGGCAGCAACAGCAACTGCAGCGTCGGAGGTTTATCCATTTCCAGCGTTAAGCACGCCGTCCATGCAGCTGCCTGCCAGATCAAGGTGTGTGAGGAGAACTGACCTAGATCGAGGGAGTCATTCATTTGTTCATTTCTTTGCAGGTGTTCAAGCTAAAGGGCGCCGATCGCAAGCACAAGCAGGATCGCGAGAAGATCCAGAAGCGTCCGCAGTCGGAGCAGGATAAGTTTCAGCCCAGCTACGAGTGCACCATCATGAATGACATGTCGCTGGATCTGGTTATGCCGGCCACCACCGCGGGCTGCTACAGCCCCGAGTAGTGAGTGTAGCCCCTACAGACTTTACCAATTGACGTCGTCGCTCCACAGTTGACGCAATCTCTCAATTGAGCGTGCAAATTGTCTCGAGTGTAGTTTTTTTATGTGACAGCCAAGGCTGCGGCTTTGATTTACGATCTCCTTGCACTGCAGGCACAGATCCAAGTCCAGATCCCCCAGCTATTTGCATAACAGCCAGTTACTATGATCATGTGTCTGTATTATTCCGTATTACATACTCGTGCACCTGTCAACGTGTGCCCCTCTAGCTTCTTATCTGCCCCTTACCTAGAGCTCAGAACAATTTGGTTATAGATTCAATCAGCCTTCGAATGGGTTAAGTATTTGGGTTAATTTAATGTTCACTCGAATCTATTTAAATGCCTAATTAGATGGCTGCCATTTGTTCGAATTTTATACACTTTTGTGTGCAATGAGCTTTCATTTCAATCTCTAAAATTGTAGCTGTGAAACGCACTCTTGAATGGAATTTTCCCGCACCAACTGAGAGATTGGCAAGGTGTTGGCCCGCTAAGAGCACCATTCGAAGAGCGTTTGGTGTGGGCCGCCCCACGCTCCAAGTAATTTATAGCTTAAAGTTGCTTTTAACCGGTTTTCGGCTTTGTTTCTCTTCTGCTGAACCACACAGACATCAACACAGATCATGTTTTGCATTTAAGTTTCGAATCACCCCCATCCCGAAGCGATACCTGTGCTGAAGATCGAGATCCCTCGGGGGCGGGAGGGCAGGCAAAGAACTTGAAAGTCTAGGAAATTTCCCACTTGACTGAATTACGGGTTAGATGTGGTTTTACATGCAAATCCAAACAAGTTTTCTTATTCAATCAGGGATCGCATATCCAGCATGGGGTATATTCGGGGGGTACAGCTGTATCTGCTTGTAAACAAAGAGAAATCGAACAGTTTCGTGGAAGAGAAAACCTGATTCCCAGGGAGAGCGAGTGGGACGATAGCTGAACGGGTCTGGGGCAGAATGACGGCATTCGTGAACATGCACTGGCCCCCGAAGGATCGTCGCTCCTGTCACTGCAAGATACAGAGCCCCAGCCCGCCATTATCCAGAATTTGTAGGACCAAACTGAAGACTGTAGAACACAGTGGGCACCCAAACTAATCACGCTCCCTGTATCTCTTCCGCAGTATGAAGCTTTGGCCAAATTCGCCCTCGCATATACCCAAGTACGATGGGATGCTACCGTTCGCATCAAGTGCAGCATCGCCGGCGACCAGCGGCAGCAGCCCCATAGCCATCAACTCGGTGACGTCAACCAATTCGCCCAATTTCAAGCTGATGGACGCCACCAATATGGTCTCGCCGCAGCATGTGCCCGCGGAAATGGATGACTTTGTATGTATTTTATATTTGGCACCGCAACTCGACACAGCTAACAATTCCCATTTCAAATTATGATGCAGAATCAGAACATAATGCCGGAGTCGACGCCGTCACAAGTGACGCAGTGGCTGACCAACCATCGCCTCACAGCCTATCTATCGACGTTCGCCCACTTCTCGGGAGCTGATATCATGCGGTTTGTGCTTGCCCACAATACGTTTCGAAACTGTAGCTCATGTTTGGGTTTATTTTTTAGCATGTCCAAGGAGGATCTAATACAAATCTGTGGCCTGGCCGACGGCATACGCATGTTCAACATATTGCGAGCCAAGTGAGTGATACCCAAAAAGAGATGAAAAATCAATTCAAATATTAAATTCTTCATTCCTAGAACCATCACGCCTAGACTCACGCTGTATGCCAGCATGGATGGCTGCAGCTACAACGCCATCTACTTGCTGTCGAACACGGCCAAGGAGCTGCAGCAGAAGCTGTTCAAGACGCCCGGCTTCTACGAGTTCATGACCAAGGCGAGTGCCCAGGAGAACGGGGGAGCTGCTGCCGTTGCGGCCGCCGCTGCTGCTGCTGCTGCTGCTGCTGCAATGTACAACAACTGGAGCATGCACTCAAAGTACTCGGGCAGCGGCTCGAACATCTTCAACGAAGCCAACAAGAGCTGTGTTTACATCTCTGGGCCGTCGGGCATACTCGTTAGCGTCACCGACGAGGTGCTCAACAACGAGATCAAAGACGGCAGCCTCTATGCCTTGGATGTGCAGGGCGGCAAGGTCATCTTGAAGCTGATCAACAAGCAGGACAACAATTGAATGAATACCACCCTAGGAACCAAGTATAGCTTATAGCATTTACACACACTAGCAGTTCGGATATCGTTTTCTATATAAGATTCAATGTCTATGAGTATGAGATTTCGCGCAGCAATTTTGAACAAGCTCCCCACGATTCGCAAGCGGAACCCTTTTTTAGTGCAAAATATGTTTTAGCCACCGTTATTTTCACTCTTGTTTTAAGTTTGTTTACATTTATGCATGTCTTACCACCTATGAGTACGAGAACGGGAACGAGTGCGAGAACGAGAACGAGTACTCCACCGAATGCGCTTGCATTTCGATTCGCTATATTTTGTCTACTTTTTAGTTCATTGACACGCCAACTATCCCTTACACCTACAATTTATAATAACACTCAATCTATGTGCACCATTTGAAGTAGAAAGAACAAAAATCCGCAAAAAACTAAAAACGAAAAACACAAAAAAAAATGCCACCTCTAAATTGAATAATTATAAATAACATCTTGAAGTACAGTACCACGAATACAAGAATTGAGCAATTGTTTCGAAGCAGAGTTCAACTAGCAACCAAAACAACAACTTTTGTATGTGATAGAAGCAATAAAGTGTTATCCACAAGTGGACTGTCAAAAAAAAAACTACAATCTGTTTGAATTTACTTTTAAGATGGAGGAGGGACAGCAGTTATCAACAGAGGAAGATTCTGTATAGATTCTATAAGCAATTCTCAACGTGTTCCACGTCTAAACATTCATTTGTTTCGGGGACTTAATACAAAATTGGAATATAATTCACAAAAGTAGTCCATCAGATGGATGGCTCCCAGGTACTACTGCTGCTCCTACTCTGCGCCATGGGCAAGTACATATCTCCCTTTGAATTAATGAAAGTGTGTGCCAAAGTTTACCTATTCGAGAGCAGGTCATGGTGTGCACAGTGATTGTCGGATTGCGAAGTATATGGTGGAGGGAACGAATCGCATTTTCACCTATCGCGATGCCAGCGGAGCCCTTCAATTGCAGCGAACAGAAACCGTTCCCGCTGGTGTGTCCCTATGGATGTTCTGCAGTGCCGCGGACAGGGTGGAGACCCAGTGCCAGGACAATGGACAGTTCTCTGTGCCTATGCCCATGACATGCAACGATCCGATGCGGCCAGCGGTGACGCGTATCAGGGACGCGGAGTGTTCTGGGAGCATGTATGCTGTGGGCTACACGATCGAGGGACAGCTGTTGGAGCTCTATAGGACGTGCTTTGATCCCGGCAATGCGCGGGTTTTATACTCGCAGAGCGATGTCTACTACAAGACCTTCTGTAAGTGTTCCAACTACGCCTGATGCTCTCACCCAATTGACAATTGACTGTCCTTGACAGTTCCTAAGAGGCCTTCTGTAGACTTTGTGTCCGACCAGCTGTTCAGTCCTGCTGAGGCGGCTGCCTACTACAAATCCAACATATACCACGCCTTCAATTACATCTACGGGGATGGACAGACCTACTTGAGTAATGCTAGAGACCTGGTGATCAATCGTGGGCATCTGGTGGCGTGCGCGGACTTCCTCTTTCTGGACCAAATGGGCAGCACCTTCCGCTACCTGAATGTTGTGCCGCAGTTCAAGTCAATCAACGATGGGAACTGGGAGAAGATCGAACGTTGGGTGCGCAGCATAGTGCCCCAAACGGCTCCGTTTCGGGTGAAGACCGGTGGCATCGGCATACTCAAGCTGGCCGACGGCAGAGGTGTGTTCGAGCAGGCCTTCCTGGCCGGCTCCAAGATTCCGGTGCCCGAGTGGACCTACAAGGTGGTGCGAGAAGTCAGTGGCAGGCGGCTCTACGTATTCCTCACCTACAACTGCACTTTCCAGCGTGAATGGCCGCAGGTCCCAAACATTTGCAAGCCCGTCAGCTGCCCAGTAAACCTGCCAAACACACCCCACGATGGCTTCACCTACTGCTGCGATCCAACGCACTTTCCCCTCTAATCATAAACGATAAATATTTCATTACCCTGGGTATTTGGGCAGGCCCTTACGGAATAATCTTCTACGCAATAATCGTCGACTGAATAATTTAATATTTTGCATTTATTTAATAAAAGCAAAACTGCAAAACTGGAACACTGCACGAAAATTGTGGGTACCTTTAGACTATGAGAGTGGAAAGGGAATGAAAATTTGGTTGTACAGCAAGCAGAATGATGGCTTACGAAGATTTTAGGGCTACATTAAACTACATTAAACTCTTTCGTTTAATTATTACTTAGCCTGTCCTAATGACATTTTAAACGCTGCCGGAGTGGCCATAAAAGTGCACAGGCTGCCCCGAGTGTCCATAAGTTGCCACAGAATCGTTAATCGAGAATGAACAAGCGGGCGGAGATCTTCTACAAGGGGCAGACGTTTATTTTCAACATTTACTCGCTGATGCCGCAAGAGCAGCGCTGGAAGAGAATCCTCAATGAGATCAACTACTTACACGTGATGGGCTTCTGGGTGCTGCTGTTCGATCTGCTGCTGGTGGTGCATGTGGTGGCCAATCTGAACAACATGTTTGAGATTGTGAGGGCCATCTTTGTGCTGGCAACCAGCGCTGGGCACACCACCAAGCTGATTTCCATAAAGATGAATAATGTGGCACTCCAGCAGCTGTTCGAACGTCTGGACGATGAGGACTTCCGTGCTGTGGGTGCGGAGGAGTTGGCCATATTTGCGGCCGCCTGCGAGACGACACGCAAGGCGCGAGATTACTATGCGGCGCTGTCACTTTTAGCTCTGGCCATGATACTGATCTCACAGTTTGTGCTCGACTGGTCGCAGCTGCCGGTGGGCACCTACAATCCATTCGTTGATGGTCCGGGCTCGGCTGGATACTGGCTGCTGTACTGCTACCAATGCCTGGCCCTCTCCACCTCGTGCCTCACCAACATTGCCTTCGACTCCCTGTGCTGCTCCCTCTTCATATTCGTCAAATGCCAGCTGAACATCCTGGCACTGCGTCTGCAGCACTTGGGCAAAGCTAACACCAGCATCGACGTGCAGCTGAGGCAATGCATTCGCTACCACATGGCGATCGTGGACTTGGCCGAGAACATCGAGCGGCTGTTCTGCCAACCGATATCGATGCAAATATTCTGCTCGGTGCTGGTGCTGACAGCAAACTTCTATGCCATAGCCATGGTGAGTGTTTCAATTGAGTGTCCCACAGCTGAATGTCATCCCGTGTGTACTCCCGCCAGTTGTCCGATGAGAAGTTGGCGCTGTTCAAGTTTGTCAGCTATCAGGCCTGCATGCTGATTCAGATTTTTATGCTCTGCTACTTTGCGGGGTGAGTGATTGACTGATTTGTTGATTGATTGGAGCTGAGTTTATTCCTTTGTAGGGAGATCATCCACTGCAGTGTTGGGTTGCCCCATCGGCTGTACGACTCCAATTGGATGGACTGGAATCGCTGCGATCGCCGAAACGTTTTGCTTTTCATGCAGCGTCTCCACTACGAGCTGAGGATAAGAACCATCAATCCCAGTCGCGCCTTTGACCTGGCTCTCTTTGGCTCGGTACGTTTTCCTCGTTTTCCTCACTGCATGTTTAGCGAATTTCCATAATTAGCCTCATTACCGTTGGGGGGGGCTGGCTCTGTGCTTGTGGCTGACTATAAAAGCTACGCAACGCAGGACACGTAGGTTAAATCCGTCGAAAAGTGGCAAACGTTCAGCATGAATCAGCATCAAAGGGTCGCGGCGCACTTCTACAAGCATCAGGTGTGGTACCTTCAGTTATTGGGCATCTGGGCCCTGCCCAGCTCGGCCACAGATCAGCACCGTCGCTGGCATCTGCTTCGATTCTGTTTGATCTTTGTCATACTCAGCGGCATGTTGCTGCTGTTCGCCATGGAGCTGGTTAGCAGCATTTCCAATCTGCGGGCCATACTCAGAGTGTTTTTCATGTTTGCCACGGAAATGTCCTGCATGACCAAATTGATGCACCTGAAGCTGAAGGGTCGCAAGCTGGCCGGCCTCGTCAGCATGATGGAATCCTCGCGTTTTGCCACCAAAAGTGAACAGGAGCAAAACCTCATGGAGGCGGGCAGGGTGTCGGTGGTTAACTTGCGGAATCTATACGGCGTGTCGTCGATAGTGACTGCCACCTTGATCCTCGTTGTTCCATGCTTTGCGGGATGCACGGAGCTGCCGCTGTCCATGTACGAGCTGTGCAGCATTGAGGGTCGAGCCTGCTACTGGGTGTTGTTCCTCACCCATGCCATCTCGCTGCTGCCCACCTGCTGCCTGAACATAGCCTTCGACTCGGTGGCTTTCAGTCTGCTCACGTATCTGCGTGTCCAGGTGCAGATGCTCGTGCTGCGCCTGCAGAAGTTGGGACCGGCAGATGGTCCTCTGGATAATCAGCGCATTAACAGAGAGCTGCGCGAGTGCAGCGCCTACTACAACAACATTGTGCGGCTCAAGGACCTCGTGGAGATGTTCATCAGAGTGCCTGGCTCCGTGCAGCTGATGTGCTCGATTCTGGTGTTGGTGTCCAACCTGTACGACATGTCCACCATCTCGATTGCCAATGGAGAGGCCATATACATGACCAAGACGTGCATCTATCAGCTGGTCATGCTCTTGCAGATCTTCATCATCTGCTACCCCTCCAACGAGGTCACAATCCACAGCTCACGCCTTAGCCACAGCGTTTACATGTCCCAATGGACTACCTGGGACAAGCGAAACCGTCAAATTATCCTGCTGATGATGCAGCGCCTGGGCTCACCGCTTTGCTTGCGCACACTTAATCCCACATTCACTTTTAGTCTGGAGGCGTTTGGTTCTGTAGGCAAAACCGGAAACCGAACATTCTGACTGTAACTAATGGATATTCTTTCTGTTGCAGATTGTGAACTGTTCCTACAGCTATTTCGCACTCTTGAAGCGGGTTAACAGTTAGGTTTGGATTGTTATAAACAAATGATTTTAAATATTACTGGACAAAAACAGCTAGACATCCATCCTCCCTGCAGCAAACTGGTCACACTCGTAGCTGGTATGAAAAATACCAGAAAAGTATATCTTATCGACTCTCTGTAGCTATCGATAGCGCAAATCACGCAATTATTGTTGTTGTCTCATTTAATAAAAATTACTATTCCACTCAAAGAACATTGATATTTCGGGCAAATTAAGTGGTAAATCTTACGGGCTGTCCATATAAACTAGTTGTGCATGTAATTAATTATCGCGCTTGTTGCATCGCACCGCAATTCGTATCGTATCGGCCAGCTAGCATTCTTGCTGACGGACAAAGTTAAGATGTCGGAACACGCAAAAGCAAGCGCCAGCGTTCCTAGCTGCCTGCATTGTAGCGCATACGGTTCGAAATTGAAATTCCAAGATATATTCGATGAATTTGGCCTGGAACTGGGACTCCAGCAGCTGCTGGCGAAGCACTTCGACTTGGCTGTGACGCCCAACGAAAAGCAGCAACAGATCCTTTGCGCAGAGTGCGTCAATGTTCTCATCCGGTTATTTGACATTGACGAGGTACAGCAACAGCAAGATGCCGCGATTGCCAAGCGAGAGAACGCTGCTTCTCCGGCAGCAAAGAGTGCAGCCAAGATGCCACCAAAACCGTCAAAGCACACAACGCCGCCCAAGCCGCAAGTTAAAGTGGAAAAGCCGCCTGTGCCGGCGATCCAATTGCGGGAGCCCAGTCGGCGTATAATCAAAAATAACGCAGCAGTCGTTGTGGATAAAGTTGCGGCACCAGCCAGAACTATCGTGCAGGTTTCTCCGCCCATTGCAAGAGCTCCGAAGGACGCCGACCAGGAGCAGATTAGTGCCCTCATTCTCAATATTCTAAACGAGGATGAGCCGGGCGAGGAAGAAGATATTGATGCCGATAATGTGGCGTCCGTCTCACCCCAAAGATCGGCAGCAATCACAAGTCGAACAACAATTGATGAGCCAGAGGAGGAAACGGTGACCGAGACAGTGACTGAAGACGATCTAGATGGAGTGCACATAATATACGAGCATGACGGTGCGTATTAGACCCTATCTCGTGTTATTTTGCTATAGTTTATTCGTCTTTTAGATATTTCATTGGAAGAGGAGGTAAATACCAAGCCAGACATCAGTGAATGCAGACTGAAAGTGCTGAAAAGGGATAGCCAGAGCGAAGCTGAGAACGAGGAGGGCGAGATCAGCAATATTATTGTCTTTAACTTTGTCGACATCAAAGAAAGTATGTGGACTCGTAGCTGTAGCTATTGTTGCTAATTGATCTCATTTCTTGCCATTACAGAGGATGATATTGAGGATCTATACGAGTACTTGGGCACGGTGGTGAAGACCAGTTTCCATAAGCTAACCTTTGACTGGAGCACAGTCTGCAAGCTGTGCAAATTCAAGTCCGCTACGTTCGAGAATCTGCTGGAGCACATGCAGAAGGTGCACAAGTCTCGGACGGATGTGTTTCAGTGCCCCATCGAAGGCTGCAGCATGGAGCTTAAGGGAAACAAACTGCTGGCCATGCATTTGGTGGTTCTACACGCACCAGTGGCTGAGTAAGATGCGGCTTTATATGTGATAGCTGATGTAATAACTTATGATGCTCCTCTTTTAGTATTGCCATTTATGGCAGCTGCCCGGAGTGCAAGATGACATTTTCGAATATTTTGCAGTACAACAAACACTCGTGCGCACGTTTCATCAAAAAGAGACGAGGCGTTCGCTTGTATTGCGAAATGTGCGCCTTGGAGTTTCCCTCCTGGAAGCGGTAAGCAAATGTTTATAAGAAATTTGACTGAAATGTTAATTTGGATGATCCGTTTCCTTGCAGTTTCAATTTTCACAATCAATTCCATTTGGAGAAGCACCGACCGCGTGCATGCTTCGTCTGTGGCTATGAGAACACCAACATCGACGAACTCTTTCAGCATTTGCACTATTCCCATGAGCCAGAGGGCACACTCTTCTGTGATCTGTTAGTAGCTTTGAGTCCACAGCCTCTCTCTATACATTTCTGATGCTTCCTCTCTGCTTTCAGCTGCGATCGCACGTTCCGGAATGCTGCTGTCTTTGCCGAGCACAGCTCATCGCATGCGAATGTGAGCAACACCACCCACTGCTGCAGCGAGTGCATGGCCACCTTCGAGACTCGTGGCAAACTGAATGTCCATGTGGTACAGTATTTCCCTTGAGATATTCTAGTAATTATAATACAACTAATCGTTGGATACTTTGCAGAGATTAATACACGGCAAAGTCATCAGCTGCGAGCTGTGCTTCCGTGAATTTGCCTCTGAGGTTACCTACAATGTGCACATGAAATCCCATTTGATTATCGAACGTGATCTTCACGTCTGCGTCAGTTGTGGCCAACTCAGTGAGAATCAAGAGAAAATGAACGCCCATCTGGCAGTCGAGGATTCGGCCTGCTATGGCGCAGAGAGTTGCGTGGAGCTGGTTCGCGATGCGTATGTCTGTGAGTACTGCACGACGTACTTTAAGCAAAAGTCCGATCTGCAGGCGCATCGCGAGTCCGGTGTGCACGACAATGGTGTGTTTTGGTGTCAGCCTTGCAAAAAGGAATTTCCCGACATAAAGTTGTATCGCAATCATTTGCGCAACTTCCAGGCACTGCGCACAGATGTGGCACATCGCAAGCTGGACATTTGCAGCTTCTTCATGTGCGATCAGAAGGTAATATCTTCACTTGGCTGCACAATCGAAACATTTGCTTGAATCTGAATCTTATCTTTCAGGGTTGCTCGGCGGTATATGCCAACTGGAACTCTTTGTACACCCACAAGCGACGCACTCACGATGCGCCTGAGAAGCAGCAGGAGAAATCGGGCAAGCTGTTGCAGGAATGGCAATGCCAATTCTGTCTCAAGTTATGCCGCTCCAAGATGTCCTTATCCGTGCATGTCGCCCGTAGCCATAATAATGGTGAGTAGACAAATCGCTTCAACTGATTGCAGACTATCTTAACGAGGTTTCTGCCTAGACAACGTGGTCTGTTCGCTGTGCAAAGCGTCGTACAAGAGCAAGGAGGCGCTGGAGAACCATCATGCCTACTGGCACGAGCCCATCGAGTGTCCGCAGTGCTTCAAGATAGTCAAGAATCGCCGCAACTACGACACCCACGTGAATGTGGTGCACTCCAACAAAAAGCGCTACACTTGCAGTGTGTGCGAGAAGGGCTTCTACCACAAGAGCGAGATGGAGGCTCACAAGAGGGTCTGTACTCTAGCAAAAACTCTAATCTCGAACTCCAACTGATGGATACCCTTTCTGCAGCTACATTCGCAGTCGTACAGCTGCGATCAGTGCAGCTTCACCACCAGGAACAAGAAATCACTGTCTGTTCACACGCTGGGCCAGCACTTTAAGCGTTTCGCCTTCGAATGCAAGATGTGCGACAAGCACTTTGGTCGACGCCAGGGACTGACCAATCACATACAGCGTGTGCACGCCTCCAAGCATGTGTGCCGCAACTACATTGATGACGGCTGCGGACGTTCGTTTAACACCAGTTTACAGGTGAAGATGCATTTGCGCAAGGTGCACAACTCCACTTTGGTGTCTGACGATGTGCTCGAAGAAGAGGCGTATGCCAACGCCAGACCCAGGCCAGCGAAGAGGCGTTGCCTTGGATTGGGGCAAGATACCAAAGACGACAGTGCGGATGATTTGGATAGAATGAAAGACGCTGATTATCAACCAGAGGAAGGAGACGAGGAGGATGTGGCGGAGGAGGAGCAGGACCAGGAGGAAGAATGTGAGCTGGAGTTTTCCGTAGACGAGGCAGAGGCGGAGCATAAACCGAAACCAAACTCTGGCTCGCTCACAGTCAGACATGGAAGAAAAAATTGTTCAAATTAGTTAATTTTCCTTGCTAAAGCAGATTTGATTTAATTGAATTTGATTTCCGTTCATTTTGCTAACCATTATTTGAACACAGAGATGTCAGAAAATGACATAAATATGTATTCCGTACAGTACATAATACAATTCTAATGATAATATAATAGCTAATCTCTCGTACATTTAGGCTAACTTCAATGCAATTAACTAGCCAGAATCTGGCGGAAGCAAATTTGATTTATTAAGCGTTGTAGTTTGGTCATGTAACTGTTGAAGATTGTGTGCGGAGCTTACCTACAAACAAAATAAGTTACGAAAAATGCAAAAGAGATTGTAGAAGTAAGACTCACTGGGCTAATTGGTGTAATAACAATGGCGGTGCGCGTGGCACAGTGCAGCAGGGCCGTGTCCTCAGTGGACTCATCACAGTCACCGTCGCCATCGGCATCCACATCGACATCCACGTCGACCCCAATGTCGCTATCGATCTCCCACGATGGGAAATGTTCCATTTCGCCTTCACAGTTTAGATCTTCCTCCTCAAAATCCTCATACTCGTCGATAAGTATAACTATGGATGGAGCAAGGGATTTAGTTAAATATCAATCACATAAATGATTGCTTTACTTGAACTATCTGGCGGCGTTGCCTTTGCAGCGCATTCCAGGGATTGTGCACCCTCATCTGGTATGCTGATGCGCTGCTCCTGCTTGCTATATGGCTCCGATGTGGATCTATGCAGGCTGTAATACACGTTCTCAACGATTATAATTCGTATTTTTGTTAATTTACTATCGAGAACAAACCTTAATGTAACACGTTTCTTGGTCCTATTATCTAAATCAGTCATAAAAACATCATTGTGCTGCTGCTTCTCAGACCCCAGCTGATATGAGTTAAGCACGGAAGACTGCAAAGAATCGAAACAAATCAGTAATCAATTGGGGGGCGAACAGTTGGGCGGGTGCTACCTTGGTATTGGTCGAAGTATGCTGCGTGTGAGGCGGCAAGGGGGTTTGCGTTGCGATCGCATCCGTGGTCGTTGTTGTTGTCTGCGTGGAGGTGAGCGCTCGCAAC